GGTAAGGCCTCGGACAGGAGATCATGTATCAAGAAGTAACCGGTGCCAGAATGGAGCCAACGCGGACCGGCTTCTGGTACCTCATCCCCAGGCGAACTCAGCCGCAGCTCGCTCCAATCGTACTTCTGGGCGCAATAGAACTCTCCGGCTGCTAAACTGATCAAACCCTTCTCTGGTCTTCTCTGGATATGTTGGCTAGATAAATTCGCAAAAGCATATCCTTTACCACACATCCCAGATGATCCATCAGGTCCCAAACGGTCCCAAGTCTTCTCAAAAGACCACCCTGTTAGTCTCGCCAATGCAGCTGCCATAGTATCATGATTATAGTAAAGATGAAACGTAATATCTTTCTCAATTTTAGGCATACCTAATGATACCATGTAATCATGCATCAACTGAACCGCATACTTTGCATTCTGCTGGTCCGTCAATGACACTTCACTGCCTATCTCCCATTTAACATAGTCCAAAACATCCAGATTTTCAGGAGTAGGAGTTATTATAGGCGTTGGTGTAGGAGTAGCGGTAGGAGTCGGTGACGGCGCAGGCGTTGGGGTGGTCGCGAGCGTAGCCGATGGTTCCGGGGGTTTCCGTGGGTTCAGGGGCCTTTGTCGGCTCCGGTGTCGGGCTGGCGGTAGGAGTCGGCAGGGGAGTCGGGGAGTCCGTGGGCGCCGGAATCGAGGTTGGCACTGATGTTGGGGACGGGCTTGCCGCGATAGTGGGAGTCGGTGCCGGGCTTGGTGCGGGACCAGTCCTTGGGTCGTCGCAAGCAACAGCTAACATTGCAACAGCTAGGATTATTCCCAACTTCAGGTAACCGAAGCTGCGCCAACGTGCCATGGATATATCGCATCTGCTCCCGGCCCGTATGCGGCCTTTTTTGTGTTTAGGCTCCTGCCTTCACAGGGTACTTAATCTCAGTTGCGCCGTGATGTCAAGCCCACGAGCAAAGCCTAATCTTCTGCGGCGGCTAGTGTTGGCCAATGAACTCCAGCACCAGGCCATTCCAGACCTGGGGTCGTTCCCAAAATGCCCCGTGTCCCGCGTCGGCCAACGACGCAAAACGGCTGGTGGGAATGTGCGCCGCCAGCATCCGCATCAGCGCCGGCGGCGAGAGCAGATCGGCCTCCCCGGACAGTATCAGCGTTGGAACCCTCATAGTGCCGAGCCGCGAATAGGTGATCGGCTCGCGTACCGGTTGCGAGGGCAATGTCCCGTACGGACGGCTTGCCAGTTCGATTTCCAGCCACCGTTGAGCGCCTTCCGGGTCGGTGCCCCGGTACGATGGCCCCAGCTCCCGCAGGTTCACCGGGAGTTCCTGAATTTCCGCCGGTCGCAGCCGGGTTTGCACCTCCAGATATTCCGGGTCCTGAACACCGCCGATGGTGTTGGCCGCCACCAGGCTGAGCACGCGCTCCGGATGGTCCAGCGCATAGTCCAGCGCAGTGATCCCGCCCGCCGCCGTAGCTACCAGGTGGAACCGTTGCAGTCCCAGGTGCTCGACCAGTCCATGCAGGTCATCGCCCACGAAACCCGGCTGCTCGTTGGCGTCGGTCGGCCGCGAACGACCCCAGGTGCGCCGGTCGTACGTGATGCACCGGTATCCCGACGTTGTGAACGCCGACAGCTGATGTACCCAGCTATCGCAAGTGCCGGATGCCGCGTGCATAAAGATCACCGGCGTTCCAGACCCGCCGGTGTCCTCGAACCACAGGTCCACCCCGGGTAAATTCACAAATGGCATAGCGTCAACAACTCCTGTGGCGAATCAAAATCAGTGGTGTGCGATGCAACTCGGGATGCTGCGACTCACGGGTTGATCAAGCCGGAATGCCGCGCCACGATGAACGCCTCTCCCCTCTCCACAAAATCGGATACCACGTCGATCAATGCTTCCGGACGATCGGCCATGATGTTGTGGCCCGCGTCGTACACCAGCGACACGTTGCAGTTGGGAATATTTGCCTTGTAAACGCCTGCCGCTTCCGGAGCAATCGTGCGGTCGTTCAGCCCGAACACAACCAGCGCTGCACATTCGATTTCGCCCATCCTGCTCTCCAGGCCCGCATCACGGCCTCCGTCGGCCTCTCCGGCAGGCAAAACGGCCACTGGGGAAATTAGCACCAGGGCTTCCACCACTTGTGTCGCCTCCAGCGCGTGCCAAATGGCTGCGTTCGCGGAACCGGAGGCCGCAATCAGCGTGATCTTTCCGCTCGTTATCTCACGCACCGCCTGGACCATCAGGCTGGCCACGTCTTTCGAGGTCCCGGTTCCGTGCGGTTCCAGCCGAATCACCCGGTATTTGCCGGCCAATGCGTCCTGGAGTTTCGCCATGCCGGCGCCACCGCCATCCAGAATCACCACGACTTCGCCGGCGCCTGCTTCCCAATAGCGGATGGTTTCACCCCCAACGTGAACCAGCCGCTCCGCTTGATAAACCTCAGGATCCGCCGACGTGCCTGACATACGTTGCTCCCAACCCCTGGCCGCGGTTACCCTGCTAAAACTCTCGGATGCGAGGCAGTACTTCCCGGCCGAACAGGTCGATTTCCCGCATGACTTCCTGATGAGTGACGCCCGGTTGCTGGAAGAATAGGTCCACCACCCCCGCCCCGCACTCGTCATGGAACTGCTTGATCTGCTTCACCACCGTGTCCGGACTCCCCATGAAATTCAGCCCGGCCGAGGAACCGGCGCAGCCCCTGGGACGCAGCGGCCAGGCTAAGCCTTCGTCCCCGCCCCTCTTCGAGTGGGTGCTGAGCGCCGAGCCAGAAGGGAGAAAGGCCCGGTCGGCGCGGGATGCCAGGCCACAAGACACGAGGAGAGGACACCGCGTCTTGCGTCTCGGTGTCCTTCCCCTGCACGTCCACGTTTTGCGAGCTTTTCGGTTACACAGTTGTCTTGTGACCGTTCATCACTCCATCGGAGGGCGGCTCGTAAGATCACGGCAGGCATCGCGGGTCGTCTCATCTGCCAGCGCCCAAACCGCCTTTGGGGTACCTCCGTGCGCCAGTTGCCCGGATCAACAGGAAAAGCGGATTAGTGGACGAGCCTACCGTCGTGGGCTTTTAGCGATTTCCTTGTGTAGGCGCATGCAAGCCTCGCAGGTTCGATTTAGGTGCATCTTTCTTGCATTTTGTTTTGTGGCATGCCTTCTCAGAGAACCGAAGCAAGCACAAATTCTCACTTGTTAATGTTTGTTGCATATGGTTACATGCCAGCAGAGCATATCATTTAGCGATGCTTAGTTCAGGATAACCAGCAGCACGATGCTCCTCAAACAAGCCATAAAACTCATCAACACTCATCCCAAAAGTATTTTGGAACTCTTTCTGCCAAGTAGTTCCGTGTTTTAGGGATGTGTAATAGTGAATCAGGGAACGAACGCCAGTATGGGATGCCAGTAGTTCTGCGGCAAGCGCACTATATCTGTAGGGATTTGAACCGGCTGCTGTAAAGCCAACGCGAGTTTCCATAGTTCTTAGCGGTGCATATTCACCCTGCACCCCGCTTAGTAGCCATTCTCGGTATCCATCATGAGTATCGTGTAAGGCCTCGGACAGGAGATCATGTATCAAGAAGTAACCGGTGCCAGAATGGAGCCAACGCGGACCGGCTTCTGGTACCTCATCCCCAGGCGAACTCAGCCGCAGCTCGCTCCAATCGTACTTCTGGGCGCAATAGAACTCTCTGGCTGCTAAACTGATCAAACCCTTCTCTGGTCTTCTCTGGATATGTTGGCTAGATAAATTCGCAAAAGCATATCCTTTACCACACATCCCAGATGATCCATCAGGTCCCAAACGGTCCCAAGTCTTCTCAAAAGACCACCCTGTTAGTCTCGCCAATGCAGCTGCCATAGTATCATGATTATAGTAAAGATGAAACGTAATATCTTCCTCAATTTTAGGCATACCTAATGATACCATGTAATCATGCATCAACTGAACCGCATACTTTGCATTCTGCTGGTCCGTCAATGACACTTCACTGCCTATCTCCCATTTAATATAGTCCAAAACATCCAGATTTTCAGGAGTAGGAGTTATTATAGGCGTTGGTGTAGGAGTAGCGGTAGGAGTCGGTGACGGCGCAGGCGTTGGGGTGGTCGCGAGCGTAGCCGATGGTTCCGGGGTTTCCGTGGGTTCAGGGGCCTTTGTCGGCTCCGGTGTCGGGCTGGCGGTAGGAGTCGGCAGGGGAGTCGGGGAGTCCGTGGGCGCCGGAATCGAGGTTGGCACTGATGTTGGGGACGGGCTTGCCGCGATAGTGGGAGTCGGTGCCGGGCTTGGTGCGGGACCAGTCCTTGGGTCGTCGCAAGCAACAGCTAACATTGCAACAGCTAGGATTATTCCCAACTTCAGGTAACCGAAGCTGCGCCAACGTGCCATGGATATATCGCATCTGCTCCCGGCCCGTATGCGGCCTTTTTTGTGTTTAGGCTCCTGCCTTCACAGGGTACTTAATCTCAGTTGCGCCGTGATGTCAAGCCCACGAGCAAAGCCTAATCTTCTGCGGCGGCTAGTGTTGGCCAATGAACTCCAGCACCAGGCCATTCCAGACCTGGGGTCGTTCCCAAAATGCCCCGTGTCCCGCGTCGGCCAACGACGCAAAACGGCTGGTGGGAATGTGCGCCGCCAGCATCCGCATCAGCGCCGGCGGCGAGAGCAGATCGGCCTCCCCGGACAGTATCAGCGTTGGAACCCTCATAGTGCCGAGCCGCGAATAGGTGATCGGCTCGCGTACCGGTTGCGAGGGCAATGTCCCGTACGGACGGCTTGCCAGTTCGATTTCCAGCCACCGTTGAGCGCCTTCCGGGTCGGTGCCCCGGTACGATGGCCCCAGCTCCCGCAGGTTCACCGGGAGTTCCTGAATTTCCGCCGGTCGCAGCCGGGTTTGCACCTCCAGATATTCCGGGTCCTGAACACCGCCGATGGTGTTGGCCGCCACCAGGCTGAGCACGCGCTCCGGATGGTCCAGCGCATAGTCCAGCGCAGTGATCCCGCCCGCCGCCGTAGCTACCAGGTGGAACCGTTGCAGTCCCAGGTGCTCGACCAGTCCATGCAGGTCATCGCCCACGAAACCCGGCTGCTCGTTGGCGTCGGTCGGCCGCGAACGACCCCAGGTGCGCCGGTCGTACGTGATGCACCGGTATCCCGACGTTGTGAACGCCGACAGCTGATGTACCCAGCTATCGCAAGTGCCGGATGCCGCGTGCATAAAGATCACCGGCGTTCCAGACCCGCCGGTGTCCTCGAACCACAGGTCCACCCCGGGTAAATTCACAAATGGCATAGCGTCAACAACTCCTGTGGCGAATCAAAATCAGTGGTGTGCGATGCAACTCGGGATGCTGCGACTCACGGGTTGATCAAGCCGGAATGCCGCGCCACGATGAACGCCTCTCCCCTCTCCACAAAATCGGATACCACGTCGATCAATGCTTCCGGACGATCGGCCATGATGTTGTGGCCCGCGTCGTACACCAGCGACACGTTGCAGTTGGGAATATTTGCCTTGTAAACGCCTGCCGCTTCCGGAGCAATCGTGCGGTCGTTCAGCCCGAACACAACCAGCGCTGCACATTCGATTTCGCCCATCCTGCTCTCCAGGCCCGCATCACGGCCTCCGTCGGCCTCTCCGGCAGGCAAAACGGCCACTGGGGAAATTAGCACCAGGGCTTCCACCACTTGTGTCGCCTCCAGCGCGTGCCAAATGGCTGCGTTCGCGGAACCGGAGGCCGCAATCAGCGTGATCTTTCCGCTCGTTATCTCACGCACCGCCTGGACCATCAGGCTGGCCACGTCTTTCGAGGTCCCGGTTCCGTGCGGTTCCAGCCGAATCACCCGGTATTTGCCGGCCAATGCGTCCTGGAGTTTCGCCATGCCGGCGCACCGCCATCCAGAATCACCACGACTTCGCCGGCGCCTGCTTCCCAATAGCGGATGGTTTCACCCCCAACGTGAACCAGCCGCTCCGCTTGATAAACCTCAGGATCCGCCGACGTGCCTGACATACGTTGCTCCCAACCCCTGGCCGCGGTTACCCTGCTAAAACTCTCGGATGCGAGGCAGTACTTCCCGGCCGAACAGGTCGATTTCCCGCATGACTTCCTGATGAGTGACGCCCGGTTGCTGGAAGAATAGGTCCACCACCCCCGCCCCGCACTCGTCATGGAACTGCTTGATCTGCTTCACCACCGTGTCCGGACTCCCCATGAAATTCAGCCCGGCCGAGGAACCGGCGCAGCCCCTGGGACGCAGCGGCCAGGCTAAGCCTTCGTCCCCGCCCCTCTTCGAGTGGGCGCTGAGCGCCGAGCCAGAAGGGAGAAAGGCCCGGTCGGCGCGGGATGCCAGGCCACAAGACACGAGGAGAGGACACCGCGTCTTGCGTCTCGGTGTCCTTCCCCTGCACGTCCACGTTTTGCGAGCTTTTCGGTTACACAGTTGTCTTGTGACCGTTCATCACTCCATCGGAGGGCGGCTCGTAAGATCACGGCAGGCATCGCGGGTCGTCTCATCTGCCAGCGCCCAAACCGCCTTTGGGGTACCTCCGTGCGCCAGTTGCCCGGATCAACAGGAAAAGCGGATTAGTGGACGAGCCTACCGTCGTGGGCTTTTAGCGATTTCCTTGTGTAGGCGCATGCAAGCCTCGCAGGTTCGATTTAGGTGCATCTTTCTTGCATTTTGTTTTGTGGCATGCCTTCTCAGAGAACCGAAGCAAGCACAAATTCTCACTTGTTAATGTTTGTTGCATATGGTTACATGCCAGCAGAGCATATCATTTAGCGATGCTTAGTTCAGGATAACCAGCAGCACGATGCTCCTCAAACAAGCCATAAAACTCATCAACACTCATCCCAAAAGTATTTTGGAACTCTTTCTGCCAAGTAGTTCCGTGTTTTAGGGATGTGTAATAGTGAATCAGGGAACGAACGCCAGTATGGGATGCCAGTAGTTCTGCGGCAAGCGCACTATATCTGTAGGGATTTGAACCGGCTGCTGTAAAGCCAACGCGAGGTTCCATAGTTCTTAGCGGTGCATATTCACCCTGCACCCCGCTTAGTAGCCATTCTCGGTATCCATCATGAGTATCGTGTAAGGCCTCGGACAGGAGATCATGTATCAAGAAGTAACCGGTGCCAGAATGGAGCCAACGCGGACCGGCTTCTGGTACCTCATCCCCAGGCGAACTCAGCCGCAGCTCGCTCCAATCGTACTTCTGGGCGCAATAGAACTCTCTGGCTGCTAAACTGATCAAACCCTTCTCTGGTCTTCTCTGGATATGTTGGCTAGATAAATTCGCAAAAGCATATCCTTTACCACACATCCCAGATGATCCATCAGGTCCCAAACGGTCCCAAGTCTTCTCAAAAGACCACCCTGTTAGTCTCGCCAATGCAGCTGCCATAGTATCATGATTATAGTAAAGATGAAACGTAATATCTTTCTCAATTTTAGGCATACCTAATGATACCATGTAATCATGCATCAACTGAACCGCATAC